ACCATTTAATACAAACCACTGTTTACTGTATTTACTCCTGGGTTACCTCAGCACAATAAGACTGCATGCTCTGACACCCTTCCACTGGTTAATTGTTCTCACTGTCAGGAAATTTCACTGTAGTTCTAGCTTGGATCTCACCCTGATAAGTTTCCATCCATTATTTTTTGTCTTGCCCTCAGGTGCTTAGGAGATTTAAATCAATTTCCTCGTCTCTGACAGCCCCTCAGGTATTGGAAGACAGCCGTCATGTGTATCCCCCCCCCATCTTCTCTTTGTTAGACTAACCTGGGGTCTCCAAACATGGCAACTTTAAGACTTGTGGACTTCAACTCTCAAAATTAAGACTTCAACTTCTCATCCTGGGAGGAGTTGAAGACCACACGTCTTAAAAGTTATCAAGTTTGGAGACCCCTAGACTGGACATACCTTAGCTCCCTCAAACGTTCCTCATATGATTTAGCTTCCAGATCATTTATCATCTTTGTTGATCTGTTGAATATTGAATCTGTTGAATAGGAGCCAGCCGTGTGCTGCAGCTGCCAAAAAAGCCAACACAGCTCTAGGCTGCAATAACAGAGGGATAGAATCAAAATCACATAAAATGTTAATAGCACTTTATAATGCCTTAGTAAGGCCACACTGTTCTGGTCACCATATTTTAAAAAAATTGTTGAGATTCTAGAAAGAGTGCAGAGAAGAGCAACAAAGATGATCAGGGGGCTGGAGACTAAAAAATTTAAAGAATGGTTGCAGAAATTGGGTATGTCTAGTTTAAGAAAAGAAGGACTGGGGGTGACATGACAGTGTTCCAATATCTCAGGGGTTGCCACAAAGAAGAGGGAGTGAAGCTATTCTCCAAGGCGCCTGAAGGCAGGACAAGAAGCAACGGATGGAAACTCATCAAGGAGAGAAGCAACCTGGAACTAAGGAGAAATTTCCTGACATTGAGAACAATTAACCAGTGGAACAACCTGCCTCCAGAAGTTGTGAATGCTCCAACACTGGAAGTTTTTAAGAAAAGACTGGACAGCCATTTGTCTGAAAGGGTATTGGGTTTCCTGCCTCAGCAGGGGGTTGGACTAGAAGACGTCCAAGGTCCCTTCCAACTCTGTTCTTCTACTCTACTCTACTCTACTCTACTCTACTCTACTCTACTCTACTCTACTCTACTCTACTCTACTCCTACTCTACTCCTATTCTATTCTATTCCCATTCTCCTATTCTAGTCTAGTCTAGTCTAGTCTAGTCTAGTCTAGTCTAGTCTAGTCTAGTCTAGCCATCTTTTTCTCTAGCCAGTTGAGCTTCTGCCCATCTGTTCTTTTCCTTCTGATCCAGCTTCTACTGCCACTGGTCTCTCCCACGAAGACGATCTGGCTTCTCTGGAGGCCTCGGAGACCAAACCAGAATTCCTGCTCAGCACAGACATGACGCAAAAACCTGAGGCAGGAGGTGCCTTGTATCTGCCCGAAGCGACTGAGCGGATCCGGCAAGCTGTGCTGTGTGAAGCCTCCAGAGACTATCAGGGGGCCTTTCATGGCTACCGCAGTGGAGTTGACTTGCTCCTTCAGGGTCTTCATGGTACGTAAAGCTAGGAGTGGGTCTTTTCGGCTTTTGGGATTTTTCCCGAAACGGGGGAGAGTTTGGTCCCTGGAAAGGCGCTGAGCAGAGCTGGAACCAAGGTCTAATTCAGATACTAACTGTTCTTGGCTGCTCCGTCTTTTACTAATCCAGGTTTGAGCGTGTCGTGTGACTATGGCTACTGAACAAACAAGGTAGGCTGGGTTGGTGCAATAGGCTAAGCCTAAGGGGAAAATAATTAACTGAGGTAAATACTTAAATCAAGTTTACTGTGTCATGAAAACGTAGCTGCTTCGTCTTTTACCAATCCTGGTTTGAGTATGTTGTGTGAATGTGGCCAGAAGAAGGTACTTCTTAGAAGCTATAATCCCAGCTGGCTGGTGGCCTGTTACCCTGCTAAATGCTTTGAGCTGCTGTTTGACTTATTATTTTGTTTTTTGCTGGCTGGATTCCAGGGCTCCAGGGAGAGCCACCACAAAGTGATCCAACATGTCTTCCTGTTTGCAGGCGATCCAAATCTAGCCCGCAGGGAAGCAGTGAAGAAGAAGACAGCCGAATACCTTCAGAGGGCCGAAGAAATCTTCCAGCAACATTTGAAGCATCTGGAACTCTGACTTCCAATCCACCATGAGTTGCTTGTATTTCCTGCTGCCAACAGACCCGGGTTTCAGGCTGACCGCTTTCCCAAGGCCGTTTTTGTCGGGGGCTTGGAATTCCTACATAAAACAAAGTTGTAAATTTTTTCTTCCAAAGGACTGTAGCTGAAATCTTAGCTTTTGTGGTGCATTTGGGCCCTTTTCTGTCATCTGCCCTCAAGCCCGGATCTGGAACGTTAAACCTGGGCAAAAAATAACCGTAGGGCTTGCTCTTCCCTTTGGGGATGGCTTAGAGAGGGGGTCAAGGATGGCCAAAAGGAGTTGTCTGAATGCGGAAATTCCCGATTCAGTTGCTTCAACTTCAGGGGTTTGGCCAACTCCCTGCATGTTAAAACTTTAAAGCAAACAGGCCGGGTTTATCCAAGCAGGGGAACAAAATGAATGGGTTGTGTGAATGCAGAGAGCCTAACATTTAGAGAAGGATTTTTTTTGCAACTGCTCTTTAGAAGTGCCTTCCTTTTTTGAGCTGGCTTGCATCCGTGTCCATTGTCCAGTACGGTAATTGTTGTGGCTGTCCAGAGCAACACAATCCCAGAGAGAATATGTGAGATCCTTTGGCAGACATATCTCCCCCCCCCAAAATGGAAAGCAAAGAATAAAGAGGTCTGAAATGTTTTGTCCAGCAAGAAAAAACTGCATATTTTCAAGCTTTTGCATTTACCTTTTCAATTCATTTATCAAATTTATTTATTTAACCAATTTATTTGCTGCCCATCTTACAGTTCAAGACAACTCTGTTGCCTCCTCCCAAGTGTGTTGGGACACCCCCTGCCCAAATTCCAAACTCTTTAATCTCTTTGAAGATCAAATTAGGCTTGGTTCTCCCTCTGCCTGGGCCAAAAAAGTGGAATTCAAGATGATATTCTTTGAATTTCAAACCAAAGATTGGATGTGGAGGAAACGTTTGCTATTCAGTGGTGATTGGGCCCAAATTTCTCTTATATTTGAATGAGAAACCGTAAGAAATACGGTTACAGGTAGTCTTGACTAATGACCACAATTGAGCCAAACATTTCTGTTGCTAAACGAGGCAGATGTTAAGTGAGTTTTCTCCCATTTTATGATTTCTTAACTGGATCATTATAGTTGTTAAGGTAGTAACATGGCTGTTAAGCGAATCTGGCTCCCCCATTGACTTTGCTTGTCAGAAGAATGCAAAAGGGGATCACATGACCCTGGACACTGCAACCATCATAAGTACATGTCAGTTGCCAAGCCTCCGAATTTTGATCACGTGACCATGGGGATGCGGCAACGGTCATAAGTGTGAAAACTCATAAGTCACTTTTTTTAGTGCCGTTGTAATTTCAAACAGTCATTAAATGGACCGTTGTAAGTCAAGGGCTGCCTGTATAGGCTCACAGAAGCGTTGAATCTCTGCTTCGTCTGCATAAGACACTAAATTAGGTTAATTTTATGTTTAGTTGTTTTTCTTTAACAGATTGTGCAAATCCAGCTTGTCCAGTTAATTTATGGTGTTGTGACCCAGGTGGGTCTGTCACCAAATTTTAGGCTAAAAGATGAAGTAGCTCAAGTGCTCTTAATAAGGTTCCTTGGGTGCCTTTCACACGCTTTTCGTCTATGGATTTTCCTGGACTCACAACCACAAATTGGGACTGGAACTCCAATTGCTAAACAACATTGTCATAAACTTCGTATTTACTTGTACCTTTTGCATTCCAAGTATTGGATTCACACAACTCCTTGAAAGTTGCAGGCTCAGCATATTTGAGGGCACCCAGTTGGAGAAGATGGCTATTTAAGCCCACCCAAACTTTTCAGCGAATTTTTAACAAATTACGATTAGTAATTTCATCAATTTTCATCTTTGCAGGAAGACATCTGGCATAAGGAACAAAGCTGTTACAGAATCTAGTGCAGTGGTGGCGAACCTATGGCACGGGTGCCAGAGGCGGCACTCAGAGCCCTCTCTGTGGGCACACACACCGTCGCCCCAGTCCTAGGCCAGTGGTGGCGAACCCATGGCACGGGTGCCAGAGGCGGCACTCAGAGCCCTCTCTGTGGGCACACACACCGTCGCCCCAGTCCTAGGCCAGTGGTGGCGAACCCATGGCACGGGTGCCAGAGGCGGCACTCAGAGCCCTCTCTGTGGGCACGCGCGCCGTCACCCCAGTCCTAGGCCTTCAGCTGGGTTTTATAAAAACCTTTTTGCTTTAGGTCTCCACCGTGTGCAAAAAAAAAAAAAAAGGTTCAATCAATCAGTCAATTTCAACTTCTCGCGGGGAAAAAAAATCTTGCAAAGTTGGAATTGATTGAACTTTTTAGTCCCAACCAGTCTGCTGTTACCACCACAGCCACGCCCACCCAATGGGCCACACCCACCCAATTGGCCACACCCACCCAGCACCTGACGATGCATAAGTGGGTTTTTGGTTGCAGTTTGGGCACTCGGTCTCTAAAAGGTTCGCCATCACTGTCCTAGGCCTTCAGCTGGGTTTTATAAAACCTTTTCACTTTAGGCCTCCACCGTCGTG